ATTTGCCAATGATACGATGTAATAATATATAACATATGTGTAAATTACGCGACTTGTCACTTGAGGAAGTTATCTTGGGTTTTGTTTGTAAACAAACAATCTCCTTCAGCGATAATACATATGGTAAACTCGTTTTTCTCGGCCCGCTGTAAATGAACTTCGAAATTGCTCATAAATAAATGGTTAAAAGTTACATATTACTTGATATGTTAATTGAGATTTAGATATTACCTTTTGTTCCAATTCTAATCTTGCGATTAGAACTTTTCGCTGATTTCACAATAAAATATAACAGGTTCCTGATTGCAACACAATTATATCAATATTTTTTCCGGAAATATAATCGAAAAGATACTGATAAGAAAGGAACAAGAGTTTATTTATAGACCATTATAATGAAATTTGCTCTCGGTATTTTCTACTATCGGGGGGAAATATCTGTGGTTCATGAGGTAGTAATTTCATTTAAATTTTACATCGAGTTCATTCTTACTTGTGTTAAACGCGTGCTTTTATCATTCTCGGTAAAATTTTTGTTAAAATCTAGTATGTAATGAAAAAAAAAGTCTCTATTGATAGCTTTTTCTTAATTTACTTGATATGCCAGTTGAGGTTTAGATATTATCTTTTGTTCCAATTCTAATCTTGCGATTAGAACTTTTTGCTAGTTTCAAAATAAAATATATAAGAGGTTCCTGATTGCAACACAATTATATCAATATTTTTTCCGGAAATATGATAGAAAAGATACTGATAAGAAAGGAACAAGAGTTCATTTATAGACCATTACAAAGAAATTTGCTCTCGGTATTTTCCACTATCGGCGAAATGTCTGTGGTTCATGAGGTAATAATTTCATTTAAGTTATACATCGCGTTCATTCTTACTTGTGTTAAACGCGTGCTTTTATCATCCTCGGTAAAGTTTTTGTTAAAATCTAGTATGTAATGAAAAAAATTAAAACATGCTTAATTACGGTCGTAAAAAGATTTCAATATTTATAAAAAACATTAAAGTCTCTACTGATAGCTTTTTCTTAATTACTTAATTACTTAATTTACTTGATATGCCAGTTGAAGTTTAGATATTATCTTTTGTTGCAATTCTAATCTTGTGATTAGAACTTTTTGCTAGTTTCAAAATAAAATATATAAGAAGTTTCTGACTGCAACACAATTATATCAATATTTTTCCGGAAATATGATAGAAAAGATACTGATAACAAAGGAACAAAAGTTTATTTATAGATTATCACAAAGAAATTTGTTCTCGGTATTTTCTACTACTTTCGGAGAAACATCTGTGATTCATGCAGAATTGACAAAGACTAAGGTAAATGTACTAGTTAATGGACATGAACCAATTGTTGGACAAAGTGACGAAACATTTTAAATATAAAGCTTTTGATGGTATGTACGATTTTAAATTAATTTGTAATTAAATTTTTATAAACAATAAATTTATTTCAAGTTGTACATATCATTAAAAGGTTAATATTGACAATTTTGTACCACTTTGTCCAACAAATTGGATCGATAATTGTCCACTAACTGGTACATTTATCTTAATGTTTTTTTTTTTTAAGAATAAAACATTATGTTCTTCTTAAACATGTTTTTAATGATAGTTTAAAAACTTTAAATATTGAAACAATATCAAGTTAATGTTTTTAATGCTTTAAATACGCTTTAAACTATATTATAAAGAAAACATATTTAAAACATATTAAAAACATCGGTTAAACATGTTTTAAAGTGTTTAAAACATGTTTTTTACCAACCCAGGATTCATGAGGAACTTAATCTGAGTTATTCTACATTGCGATTATTCTCACGTGTAACGTGTTTTTACCACCCTGAATGAAGCTTTTGTTAAAATTCAGCATGCAGCGACAAAAATTTTTTATTAAGATCTTTTTCCATATTAACTCTTTGAAATCTATGCAATAAAATTTGATTTAAAAAAATAAAATCTCACTCTCAAAAATTAACAATTGAGCCATTCATTTTCAACACTGGGTCAATTGTCATCCTTTGTCACTCTTTAGAATTAGATTCTACTTTAAAGATTTTAGAAAGTAAATTTGTGTGTTATATAAATATATAAAGTTTAAATTAAAATTAAATCTTTATAGAAACGTATTCTCGCAAATCTGTTTTTACCAGAAATTGAATCAGTTCTGAAAGTGGAATCCCAAATTATTTATCTGCATTGCGACTAATGCGAATGTGATTCTGTGTGTTTAATCGTCATTATACTTGCAGTGTTGAGTTGTATGTCTCTACACACGTATCTAGATACATGTATAGAAATACAATTTGTGTATCTAACCTGTATCTAAAATACATTTAAATTTGAGTATTTATATTTGTAGTTAGATATAAAAATACAGTATCTGAACTGATTTTCAGATACATTTTTAAATACATTTTCCTCAGTAAAGACACGATTTCATTACATGTGTGATAACGTCATTTCTGTAGATTAAGGCCTGAACAAACATAAGTTTGAGTTGTAAAATATCGTCTAAAAAGTTTTATCGTAAATCATTATATATATATATTATATATATTATTGCAAGTTTTTCTAATTTTATTTTCGCTTCCTCCAAGTTTTCGTATCGTATTATAGAGTAATAATGTAAGGATTCAGTAATCTGTACTAAAACTGTACTTTTTATTTGCAAAAACAGCATATGTGATGTATACGAGAATTTTCAGTTACTTTATTACTATTATATTATGATTAAATTATCTTCAAAATAATAAAACTAAAAGTGATTAATAAAAAATGTATTTAATATGTTTTTTAAATATTGTATTACCATATAATATAAAATATAATTGAAAAGTGTCTGATATATTTATCTAAAAATACTTTTAAAAAATATCCATATATGAATATTATTAGGTCTGCAAGCTCATTCTCGGCCCCTGTATTTAATTGACTACAACACTTATTCAAATTTGAATCTTGTTCTCGCCATACGGTCGTTTTGAAGCGTCTTGAAATGTCATTCTTAAGCTTTAAAATAAGATATAATAGGTGTCGGTGCTGCAAATGTAATCTCAAAAAATAGTATAATAGTAAAAACAATATCGTTCGAACAGCAGCATTTGAGGCACTGCCTCCTTTTCGCGTTCCAGCTGAAGAAAAATGCCGCGGCTTTAAGCGAAACTCTGTGTCGTACAATACATGTAAATAGTGATTCCAAAGATTTTCTGACGACAATTTCAATTCTTTTCAATATAGAATTTATCGGCTCAAGACAACAATCTTTTTTCCGAAGCGAAATCCGACAGTTGCCTGAAAAATTGTAAAAATATGTCTAGAAAGTGAAGGGGGTTAGTTTGATTAGGTAAATATTCGTTCTTTTATAATTTTATATCGAAACTTGGTAAAAATGGCCGAGAATTAAATTGTAGAGCTAATACATTTTTGCACATGTATCTATTATTTGTATAATATTATATATAAATATATTTTCGCGTATGTATTTGTGTGTGTATTTAGATACATTTTAAAAGTATTTTACTCATCATTGCTGTTTGTATTCAGTATCTTGTCGTTGGAATCGGATCGCAAAGATAATAATGAAGTGACAAATGTAAATAAAGGCTTTTCAGATATACAAATGTCTACGGGTACTCGCAAGACGAAATATACGGCTACAAGCAACTACCGGAGTTGCAAGGAGAATGTCCAGACTTGTTGCAGACGCAGTTTCGGAGCAGCGCGTCTGTTCAATGCGTCTGTGACTACTGCATCGCGTATGTATGCTCGAAATTAATGTAATTTCGGGGTGTATAAAAGAAATTCATTATATATATATATATATATTTACATTAAAATACTTTACCCATCTTACGCCACAATTACAATTTTTACTTTGAATAAAATTTTATTTTGAAATAAGTTAATAAATTATTTTTATGTGTCGACATATTATTGAAATTCAAATTTATCATAATAGTACCTTTAATATTATATTTTCACATAAGTATATTTTCTTCAAATGCCAAGCACGATGATGTATGTATCGCGATTTGAAAATATTGTTGAACATCATTCGTTTTCTGAGGTATAAAATAGAGAGAGAGAGAAAGAGGTAGACAAATTTCATGAATATCTCACATGCCAAGATACACAACTATTTTAGTTACGTGTAGATAAAATGAAATATATAAATTATGTAATAAATATTTATTTTGTGTATGTGTGTGTTGTATGAATAAATATAAAAGTTAACATTATCATACATCTGCATTAAAACTAGAGAACAAAAAATTGGTAATTTCAGTAAAAGTCTATCTTTTTAAATGTCACAATTCATTCGCGAAAGTAAATATTATGATAATTGCTTGTGATTATCCAATTAATTGTATAATTAATTTAATCGTATTATTAGTGGTTTTTTAAATATTAATTGCAAATTATAGAAATTTCTATACATTTCCGAATATATATATATAATGTTAGATATTATTATATATGTAAGGATTATATTATATGATGTCATAATATAGCAAGAAATAAAACTTAAATAGATTAAAACTAGAAACAAATTAGAGCTAGAAAAAGCAAGACAGAAGAGAAAGAGAAAAGAGAGAGAGAGAGAGAGAGAGCGCAATTTAAACTGTCTAATAATTATTTGCCAAGTGATTTATTTAAAGAGTCTAGTACCATATGAGTCTAAAATTAAACTGTTCTTAAACGTACTTGAAAAGACAATTAAGAAATAAATAAAGCAATAAAAAGTCGAGCTACTTTACGTAATAATTGAAAATAAAATTCTGTATTCGATTAAACAAAGAAAATATGCTAGGAAGCTTTCTTTAATGGATCATTAACTAACGATTAAATTCTCTCAAAAATTAGAAAGTGCACATCGACGAACTGGACATATTATTATACCGCGGAAAGCTTGCAGATTTGAATCACCCACGCGCGGAACGTCAATGAACGATAGAAAACTGAATGAGTGACATATGGTTACTTACTAATTTCTCGCAGTAACGACAGGCTCCTCAGACGTGTGACGAGGAGCGGATTTAAATAACTCTCACGGGCTCTCTTCGCTCCGCTTTCTCGACGCCACCCAACGTCCCCTTATTCCTTTTTTCTTCGCGCGGTATATCCTCTTGCCTGATCTTCTTACTCCGTGTGCGGAAACGTCAGGACCAAGTGTTGTCAATTGTAGTTGCGTTCGCTTACCAGCGGAAACAATTTCTTCATACAATCGTTCGTGGCATCGCGAATTAGTTGGATATCATCACGATTGAGAATTGCACGGGGTATATAACGTATACGGCGGAGAGTCCTTGTAAGCGTGAAACGAAACGTTGGTCGCGTTTTAAGTTTCGAGAACCAGCGGAGAACGATTGTACGGTACCTCCTCCTCACGTGATAATGACCGCAGTGTAGCGCATCGCGCGCCTATCTATCACCGACTCCGACTCGCACGACCAACAGCGGTGGTCTTATCTCACCGTCGCGTCGCCATATCGCGACAATCGGACGACGTTCCTCGAAGAAGTCGCGAGACCCGCGATATCATCCGCGCGCGAAGGAGGGACAGAGGGAGAAAAAGAGAGAAGAGAGAGAGAGAGAGAGAGAAAGAGAAGAGAGAGAGAGAGAGAGAATACAACCCCTCGGTTCGGCCGGCGCGCCGATGATCGCGCGCGGTACCGTTCCACGTTACACCACGTTCGACACGCGTTTAAACGCACGATTTGAACGCGCGGCTGCGAACCGGCCGGCGCGACGGCGAGTGTCGCGCATGCGCGCCCGCCCGCTTAGCGCGCGTGACGTTCACGTGATCGCGGCGCGTACGCGAATCGGAACCATTCGGTGCTGCGCGCGTGCCGCGTGGCTACGTGCGCGTTTCTGCGCGCCGTGCAGCCGGCCTCTGGCTGTCCGTCGTATACGGAACCTCCGCGAGGATCCCGTCCGATCGGTCGCGATTCTTTGGCGACGCGCTGACGCCGCGCAAGATCATTCGTTTCTCGAACGGCGCGCGGAGCCGCGGGGAGCGCGCGATCCCGCGGTCGCGGCGCACCGCCGCGTCGCGACGGCTCGCGTGACTCTTTTTTTTTTATCTTTTTCTTTTTTTTCTTAAAGAAAAGAAAAAAATAATAATTACGGGTCATCCTCCCTTCTCCCCGCGGCTACCTCTCGCGCGCCGTGTCAGATGCGACGCGCGTGCTTGGCGCCGCCGGGAGTCGACGCTGACCTCGCGAGTCCCACACGTGTAAACTTTACTCGGCCGCCCCGCGGACCCTCGGCGCCTATAGATCCACGGTCGAAGTCTCCTCCGTCGGGCTTTGCGCGAAATTTATCGTGCACGCGGTGTGCGAGAGGAGCGTATATTAATAAAATACACTCGACACGAAGTAACATATACGTGCCCGCGCGATAAAACAGGTATCGTTGAAAACGCACTGGGTCTGAGCTACGATGACTTGCGCGAATATATTTTTAGCGTTAACAACCGAGCCGATTATCAGTGAAGCACGACCGTTATTTTCTCTCTCTCTCTCTCTGATTCGCGATTATCAGAATGTTAACTTTTGCGAAAATGATAATAACATTTACGTTGAGAGTTTAAATATTGCGTAGCGATACGTCGCTTTTATCTTCGGCGGAGCGAAGGCACCGTACAATACTTCGTAATTAGCGGAGAAGCGACACATTAGAGTGATAAATGAATAAATAAGCCCCGCGGAAAATAATATTTATTACAATCTGCGGCGCGTGTGTTTTTTTTTTTCTTCTTCTTTCGCCTTTTTCCCCCCCAAATGGGATAAATGAGATAAACGAGCAAAAAGATATCGCGGGCAGGAGATTAAAAATGCCACTTGGTCGCGCCATTGGTCAAAAGGTGTCGATTCATCGAACGATACCCGCGCGACACGTGCATACGGGTCACGTTAACACAATTTCTAAAACATCCAACACACGCACATATAACTCTCCGCGGTCTCCCCAAGAGACGTACACACACAGACGGAAGCGTGATGATCGCGCGATACGCAAAACGCGCGAGCGATCAATATTAGTCGCCACAATTCAATTTTTGCGAATTCCCGTCTGGCCGCTGTATATCAGTCCGAGCCGGACTTGTTTTTGCTCCGAGCGATATCCTCGATATCGTTGAAAAAAAACGTGCGAGACGATACCCTTTTAGTTTAGAGCTTAGCATCGCATTATTCTCGTGGAAAAATGGCACGACTTTTCACAAGGGCTTCTCGTGTAATTGAAGAAAAAAAAAAAAAAAGAAAGAAAGGGAAAAGATATAAAAGACGACGAGAAGAAGATACCTCACTCTTGCACGTCGAAAACACGCAGCGCGAATAAATATTCTTATGCAAATTGTTCTTAACACGTGACACGCTCAGACGTATCACATGGGACGTGTTGAATTGATTATAAATTATAATAGTATATACATTCATTAATAGCAAAGTGCATTCCGCGACTGACTAATCTCTCTCCTTCGTCAACTTTATTTTATCGAAAAAAAAAGTTAAAAATACAATGTATTTAACATCGAAATGACAGATTCGATGTTAAATGCGATGTAAAATGCTCCATTTGTCCTTATTTAGTTATAAGGTTCGATGTAAAAGATACTCAAGTTGATATAAATTATAACACATATTTATTAACAGCAAAAAGTACATTCCGTGACTGATTAATCTCTCTTCTTCGTCAATTTTATTTCATCGCGAAAAAAAAGCTAAAATATAATTAATATTAAATAATTTTAATATTAAAATTATGGACTTAGTGCGATGTGTAAAATGTCCCCATTTATTTTTATCTAGTTATAAAAAATATTTCAATATAAATGATACTCAAGTTGATAACACCAAAAAAGAAATGGAGCAACCGAGTAAATGATAAGCACGAATATTTTCTCTCTTCTTCACGAACGTAAAATAATGTACACCGTGTGTGTGCTTCAATAATTTATCTGCTGTATAATGAAGCGTATAATATAATCAGATTTTTGTCATTACATTAATTCACATTAGCGATGCATCGTTATACGTACGTTCTCGTAGTATTGCGCACGTCTTATATACACACGAGCTGTAAAATTGAAAAATTTCCGTGAATGATATAAAGACGGTTCATAAAGTATAAACAATTAAAAACTTAAAGAATACACATAAATGACGTTGTCGTAACATCGTGGGTGTAAAATCTACATTGAAGAAAAAGGAAGTGTAGATTTTTAACTCATAAAGTCACAACGTCACGACTGTTCTTTAAGTTTTAAATTGTCTATGTTTTATGAGCTGTCGTTACATCATACTCGGAAATTTTTCGATTTCACAACTCATATACAAGACGTATCTGCGCAACATTACGAGAATATAGTATAACGATGCATCGCTGATATGATTTATCGAATTAAGGAAGTTTAAATTTGAAGTTTTCTTTAATGACTCATGGATAGATCCCAGACTGAATTTAACAAAAGTATCATACATTCTGTTCTAAATTACCTGTACTGTCCCAAGTCACTTATATTTACGGTAAATGTAATATGACAAATTTGATTATATTATATACGCTTCATTATATAGCAGGTAAATTATAATTTCATACATTATAATCTCAATAATTATTGAAAGTGTAAATGATAATAGACAACCGGGAGGAATACGTGCAAAGATACGATCTTGAAGATTAAACTGTTTACAGAATTGCTTTCATGAATTGTACGTGGTGATACGACTGTAACACGCACGTTGGAATCACTTGTCTCTTAACGAGATTCATTGGACGATTGCATGCCGGCAAGTATCAATGTTTTGCTCGTACGTTCACGAGCTAAAATGAGATTTTCACAACTGCTGAAAACAAAAAGATCCGCCATGTATTGCTGTTAGGCAAGTTTTTCCAACAAAAGCAAATATAATCTATAAAATATACAGAGAAAAAGAGAAGAATGTACTTACTTCTTTCGCGCGTGTATTATTTCTACGGCAAGTTGATGGATTATACATTTCTCGGTCCAAGATGTCGGATTGAGTTATAGCATTGTGGCCATAGAAATTAAGAAACAGACCATCACGTCAGTCGAAAATACATATGTAGTAATGAAATAATTAATTTTATTCTTCTTACATTCAACTGTGAATTCAATTTCTATATAGCTTTATGATATAAATTAACAGTTTACAGCATATAAATAATCCTTTAAAAACCATCAATCCTGGGTTGATTTTCATCTACTGACAGCCCCGAGAGCGAGGCTCTTAATTGAAAAGCGTTGACATTACTGACAATTGATATAAATTTGCGATTATTAACATACGATGCACTTCTGTAAGATCAACGATCTTTAAAAGTATCTCATCGCTATTGTTGCTAGTAAGGACGCTTTTTCTAGTGCATGCACCTGTTTCTGCCCAACTTCGGGAACCCAACGTCTCCAGCAGTCTGCAGCAGTGGTTCCGATTTCCGATAGTGCGCTTGTTGTGACGTTTTGAAGAGCAGGTTAGAGGTTAAATTAAAAGTGCAAATTGTGCAAGTTTGAAGAATGTAAAAAACATTTCATTAATTTTTAGAAAATTTTTGGAAATATATAGCTTGAATCTTCATGCAGACGTCGACGCTTTTAATACCACCGAGCACTGATCGGTGAAATACCGATTGAGAGTTAAAATAGGTGCTTCTTTTATGGTGATTTCTTATAGCGTTTTCTTATATCCGTTTTCGGTTTGCATTAACTTGGGTTAGAAAACACTTTACTTTTTAACTATTGGTTGACGTTACACGCTTTACCAATAGGAAAGCGTGTAACGTCAGTAAGGTTGGATTTATACTTCGGGTCTTAATCCTAAGATCTTAAAATTCAATAAAACTGCCAGTTCTAACCGAAATTTGTATTCTATCGGTTGAATTTTAGGATTTTAGGGTTAAGATCGAAGTATAAACGAAGCATAATTCAACCCGAGTTACGTTCAAACTCGGTCGGGCCGAAAGCGCCATTACTTCACTTTTATGCATCCAAATCATCCAATGCGCATGTGCTAGAAAAAATAGTCCCGCTAAAAGTGACCCTGGGCGTTGGGCGTACTCGAACCCGAATTGTCTTAAATTCTATCTAATTTTATCACTACGCTATATTGTCTCAAGAACTTTCAGGAGCCATTGATTAATTATTAATTAATTAAGTAATTCTATTACTGTAATACTGCTTGAGTTTGAGCCTATGTTTTTTACATACATAGCATGTTGTAACAAGTCGTAACAAGTCGTAACGTCTATCGTTTGCTACTGCTTTCGTCTTCTTTCTGGTATGAATATCTATAGATTGAAAATGTAATGAACTAATAAAGGAGGTAAGAAAATTATTGTAATACTGTTTTTATATGCTTCTTTGCATGCAGTTTCCTTTGGTATCATGTATGTATATACTATATCTCAGCCTTTTTGCGAAATCAGCCTTTTCAGGAAAAGGCTAGTCTTTGCGAAAGGGCTGCGGCATATATATACATGTATGTGAAATTATATTATTATAGTTCAGTGATTCTTGTAGATCAAAATTCGTAGCTAAAGCTGATCTGTCAACATTTTAAGTTGCTTAAGTGCAAGGCGTTATATCTAAGAAGTTGTTCGTATCATCAATAAGTCATCTAAGATGCAACAACAGATAGTACGACAATTTCCCATACCACAATATGACCCGGCTAAAAATTCAATTTTTGCTTCTGTTGCTATGTCATTGGAAGAAGTAAATCTGTATAAAAGAATAACGCCATCAGCTCCAACCTTAATGGACATATCTAGGCGAGTATATTTCGATTTATTTCTATACGATCTTAACGTGCGTAAAAAGATACTGCCTGAATATCTGGATTATTATAGTACCAGCTTACTATGGTTTAGAATTGTTTCACTTAAGATGAAACACTTTCAACCTATCACTCCTGAAGAACGAGATTTATTGCTAATTTTACAACAATTTAGTTTTACGATTCCTGAACCAATACTATTGCAACTTCAAGTATTTGGTTCTGTACAAACAAGAACAGGAGAACACCTTTATCCATGGTTTCCGAAATTACCTACTAGTCAAATTGGCGAATATGGTGGATTCTATGGACCTGTAACAAAAGACAACCATAATTTGTATGAAGAAATACCTTGTTTAGGAGTACTAAGTGAAGCTGTAAGACAAAGTATAAGTGATGCTCCTCCTGGACAATACGCATCATCTTTAAATACAGATGAATTGACTATGACTGAAAACCTATTAGGTTATTTTCCATTAGGAATAAGGGATAATGAAGCAAAAAACATCGCTTTTGATGCTGGAATTAAAGTTGATTTGTTTCCTTCCTATCCTTATAATACTGGCATGAATCTTAAGTTAATAATGTCTATTTCAAATATTATAGCACAGACAAAAGTTTTCGAATTATTTACAGTCAATTTTAATGACTTAGCTAAGGAGGGATCTGTAATTCAAACAGTTATGGTACATCCAATTTCACCAAAAATCCGTGGTCAACAAGAGAAACATGGAAAGCTCCAAGTAACTTCTTTAATGAGTGAATATTTCTCACTTACTGCTGGAATTGTATTCTGCCCTCAACTATGGAAGAAAGGATCGACTAAAACGAGTGCAAAGTCTTGGTCATGCGCTGTTCCAGTTAACAAGACATGGATAACAAATAGAAATGAGCGAAGAACCACTCTTCCCGTTCAATATCGACAAGAAGTTTTCAAATTGACACCTGAATTCGGTCAAAGTTATCGGTCTCAAGTAATAAAATTTTTAATAATGAAAAAAAGGAATGCAATACAACATTAACTATGCGTTAATGCATTAACATTTAGTATTGAGAATGCATGATTTTTTTTAAGTAGCAATAACAAATTCCGATATTTTTTTCCCACAAATTGAAATAAGATTTTTCATAACTGATGAAAACGAAGAGGTCATCCATGAATGATTATTAGATCTGAATTCTTGCAACAAAAATAACTTATAAAATGCCGATAAAAAGTTTTTTTTTAGCGTACATTATATATTTTTATACTCAAGAGGAAGAAATAAAAAGAGAAGACAACTCACATTTTAACAATTAAAGAAAATCATTTTTTTTTTTAATAAGTCTCTCGTTCTCTTACAATTAGAACACAGTGGTAATATGTATGCACTTCAGTATTACTCCGATTATACCGTATACCTGCCTTACATGAAAATATTGTAATTAGTTTTAGGGCAGGTATAATAGCGTGGAGAAGTCGTTGGCTAGTCCATGTCTAGTGTAGTCATAGACAAACGATAGCACTTGGCTTAAAATGAACATCTTATAAAAAAACAAAAAAAAAACAAAAAATCACCATCACCGAGAATAAGTTAACACTAGCAGTTATAAATGGTGTTCGTTTTTCGCTATCTACACATAATCGTAATATTATTATGCATGTATACTTGCGTAGTTTTTTTTTATAATTATGATGAAATTATTTTAAAAGTGTCGTGAACGAGGACGTTAAAGGCGGTTTTACTGAGATCAAAAAATGTCTTCGATATCTTCCGTTCAAGATTTAAAAAAGTTTATTCCTTGAACGGCGTTACGTATCCCGAAGTTTTATTAATTTTACTAGATTTAGTACTTTGTTTATAAATAGTTTAATTACTGTTATAATAAATTTGCAACTATGTATTACTTAGTGTCGAAAATACCTATGTTTTTTTTTTAACTAGCGATTTGTATTATCTCCCGATACCTTCCTTTTTCAAATTCAAAAAGACTGACATTAATAAAATAGCTATTATATCATCTTGGTAAAAAAAGACTATACAGTATTTGAAAGCTATTGAATTATAGGAACCCCATTGATTATATTTACGAACTATAAGGGAGCAGATAATCACCAAATTATTTACATTGTAATATTTAGATATATGAAGTTATAAGTTTGTACACATCGCAAGTAAAGTCCGAAATGCAAAAGATCTGTAATTAAACACTAAATAAACAATTTTGTACTACTCGAAGTGTAATACACATATAGATTGCAAATGTATTTCCCTTAGATTGCGCTTGTCAAAATAAAATTATAAAATTATTCATAATGCAGAAAAATATATATAATTGAAAATATATTATCACTTCGTATTAAAAAAAAAAAAACATTTGTTTGTACATATAAATATATATTTTTCATCACATTGCAGACTTTACCTATAATGTACATATCAAATAGATAAATTTAATTTATACAAACTATATTCGTGAGAGACGGTCAGTAAATTACATTTTTCCTTCGATGATTTTGTATACTTTCAAGATCGATATCTGCTTTCGCTTTTATTTATTTTTTTTTAATTGGAGCATGTATTAATATAAAATTTTTTCATACGTATACAAATGTATACGCGTACATTGTAATTTTCTTTAATATTGATTAATCTTAAAGACATGCTCTAGTAATATCATATCTGTTCTAAAGCCTGTTGCATATGATGTGTTTTTACCTGCTGAATAGAAGTGTATCGAGTGATTTAGGGCCGGTTAGCAAGTAAGTAGTAAAATTACTTAATCACGTGCGCGGATTGCCAGATTTACCTAATAGGTAAACTTTACTGAAACCATCTGCCCTTAGGGTAATCGATTCGTGTTTCTTTGTTCAGAGTTTGATTCCATTTGTGTTCTACATATGTGGTTTTTTTCCGGAAGGAAAATTGAATTTTGCTCTCTCTTTCTCTCTCTCTCTCTCTCTCTCTCTCTTCTCAGATTAACAAACCATTTACTTATGCATTCACATTTATGGTTCTAAGAAATTCTTTGCTTAATATTATTTATAAGTCACTACTTATGTTGCTATTTTTCTTTCCTCCTTTAGATGCACGACTATACAGGTGCAATCACTAATAATGTATGCGCAGATGTTGAGTGGTAAAAGAGAATGCCATCTTCTGACTATAATACTCGTTTAGATTTTGTACAAGCATAATGACTTTGTGTACAATTTCCGCCATTCTGAATAGACTTCTTTCTGTTAAACAAAAGAGGCAGAAGTCATAAAGTTAAAAAGCAAGCTTGTGTGCATCTATACTGGCTGCTATGTTGAAAATCGCTTGCTAGCAATATTATTGGCTTGTCTGCTGGATCCTGGATCCACGATAGGTCAAGTGTCATTTTTCTTGTGTAGTTTTGTACTAGCCTTCTGCATTGTGAGAGCTAATCAGGATACAGTTTCAATTACATCCCAGTATTCTTTTACACACATTAAATGTCGTCTATTTAAAAGGAGAGAAATATCATGTGGTGTAAAAGAAAAAACAAACAATATTGAATTTTGATTGAATTTTTTCGATGGTGTACGGCAGTGGTCTAATATTTATTTATTCGAGCTCGAGGCCTTTTGTCAAGCAAAGTTAAATTCCAACTGCTCAATCAATACGAAAACTTAGAATGTGTAAAGCCCAGTAGTACTGTCAGCATCGGTGTCGACACGGGAACATGTATTCAATTAGAAATCCAGCAGGAAGAAACGTATCGTATACTGCAAGCTTAAGAGACGCATGGTGTATCAATATCAATATATACATCACGATTAATATACATTCCTTTCCATCATTTGACGGAGGAACTGATCTTGAATAGTATTATATTTAAATGCTAGAAATAAGCTATTACAAAGATCACCTTCCTTGTAGTAAGATTGGATATTATTTTGGAATAAAATGTTCTGTGCATATTTCGATCACACATGTATACACACACACATACACACTTACTTTCGTAAATTCTATTTTAGTCAGTTAAAAATGGAAGAACTCATGTTAAACGAATCGAAACAGTTTGAATTTTATGTCCGCGGCAATGCTCCGCATGCTCTCGGTCTCTGACAGCAACAGAGGCTGCGCAATCGCGCCGCGGGACCCGGTTCTTCCGATCACCGTTCCTCAACGCCGTCACTACCGCCACTTTCCTGCTGAGGCCTCGCGATTTGGTATGTGATAAGATATTCCGGGTATGCCTGTTCGCCCCTGTAGACAACATATTCAGGGAACACTAAACCGCCCTGTGATGGTCTGCCCATTACACTATGATGGCCTGGAGGGGCATGTGCCATTTTCATTGCCGAAAATTGTAGAAACGACTTGCCGAGCGTAACTCTACAGAGTAGTAAATGTCTAAAACATTATAAACAAAAATATTTTAATAGAGGATGTAATTAATACTTTTAAAAGAGATAATAGAATAAAAAGAGAAAAACGTATCCACGAATTTAATGTATGTTAATGCTATGTTTGTGAAAGCTGCTATTGATAAACTTTTAATCTTTTAGAAATCTGTACCTGTCGTGAAAGTATATATATATCTTCTAATCTACCTCCTACGAATATTTAATTTTTTCTTCTGCTTACCTGTGACAAATATAACAGCTTCGATCTTTATGTGCGGGGCATCCGGTACCGCCGCATATACCGTAGACGTATTGATTGCTCTTGCTGCTGTGTTCTGCAAAATATATGCCAGCGCCGAACATTCCGCCGATATATGCGTGTCGCTCATCGAAACCTTTCTGAACGATAGCGTTGATAAATGGACTGCCATGGAACAACATTCTCTCGTTTGCCTGTGATACGGTTGAACTAGGTACACCTCTAGGTCCAGTACTAGGAGAAGCTGGAGCGGCAGCACCGACTTCTTCAGCCACTTCTTGTCTTCTATGAGCATAACGTTCCCATAATTTCCGATTCTGAACTTTTTGTATCTGCACAAAATATTTTTAATTACAAAATTGCTAATAAAACAATGTTAGTTATATTATTTCCGATATATATGTTAAGTACGTACTCTGACTATGTTGTATCGAGAGAAGATACCACCAGAATGGCCGTTATCTCTATGTTGTCTAATAGTACTTTGCATTTCCTCTTCAACAGCTAAAAATTCTTTATCTTCTGCTAATAAATCCACTAACAATGTCCCAGGATTTATGGAAGGCTGCCAAAGAGAACCTGCTGCAGTATTTAACAGTTTATCCATGCCTTTAATTAGTTTATGTCTATAACCGTAAGCCGATATTCCGACTTGCTTCAAATCCTCGTGACCCATTTCCGCTAGTATATCCAAAGTGATTTGCTCGCGTTCGAACAGCTCAAGTAGATGTTCCAAACCGAGACTTTGCAAAAAACCAGCGACGGTCGTGATGGTACCGTTATGTTCTTTACATATATCTTTGGATTCTTTCTCGGAGCATGGCTCGTTTGGCGGCATTGGACTCAGACATGATGTCGGCCTAGCTAATGGCACGCATAGAGTCATAGCTGCACCAGATGGCATAATAACTGTTTCTTGAGTGAGAGGCGGTGGCGGTGTGACAGGAACTGAAAACAAAATTATAAGTATATTATTTATTTATATATACGTGAATCTACATTCCTTTTATTTTTTGTGTTTTAAATCTTTAATTAGTTTATAATTTAAATCGGAAAATTTTAAAATGGTTAATGAATTATAGAAACAAGTCTTACCGGATACGATACTAGGTGGTCTACTGTTAATAGAATTGCCACCAGCACTAGTCACTATGTTGCCCGATGGAACTGTTGGAACGATTTGCTGAGAAGCCATAGCATCTTGTAATAAACATCTTACATCGTCCGCACTGGCCAAATCCACTGGAGTCTGACCTTCCTGATTTTTCAGGAAGGGATCGGCGCCATGAGCAAGCAGAAGAGCACACAGTTGTGTTCGACCCTTCTGCGCAGCTTCATGAAGCGGCGTGAATCCCCATTTGTCAGTCGCATTTACCACAGTATTGTATTTAATGAGCAAGGCTGCTATGTCCAAATGACCGTAACTCGACGCATTATGCAAAGGAATAAGGCCACCTTTATCTTGTGCATTTACATCGGCACCACGTTCAAGTAAGAATTCAGCCACTTCCAGGTTATTGTATCCCGCTATGTTAAGAAAAGCACAGTCTACATATAGCTTTGCTACTCTTGTGTATATAAATTTACAAAATTTCTATTTTATTTCTAAAAGCTCAAATTAAGAGATCATAACATATTTTTCAAATCTCTATAAAATATTAAATAAAAGTAATAAAAAAAATATATATATACATATAATAGCTATTTAAACATATTTTTTAAAATATGTTTGAAAGAGATTATATTGATACTTTAATATATTCAGAAGTGATATATTACCGGCTAAATGTAATGGAGTACTATTGCGTCCTTGTGCATCCCGACAATTAATGTTATCTTGTGTAACAAGTCGTTGAACTCTGGCTAAATTACCCTTCTTCGCTGCATCCAAAAGTGCGCTATTTCCACGTAAAAGATCCGCTACATCCTGGTCACCATCTCTTACTAAGTCTAATGGCGTCGCGCCATCTCTGTTCTTTTTAGTAGCATCTGCTCCGTGTCTCAACAATAATCGAACTATTTCATATTTGCCTTTAGCGGCAGCTTCATGAAGAGGCGTAAATTTCCACAGATCGGCAACATTCACGGATGCCCCGTGTTTTACCAATAATTCTGTAACTTCGTAGTGGCCGTAAGAACAAGCGTTGTGGAGAGGAACCAATCCACTATATCAAAATAAATATAAATATTATTAAGAATATTTTATATTTTGTGCGCATAAAGAATACTGAACTACAGAATACTGAACTATAGAATGTAGCAGAAAGAAATTAAAGATGCTATGTAAATGTTAAAGAATAATCAATGGGTAATTAAACTTGAATTGCATTAATATTGAATTAATTACCCTTTGTCTTTGGCATGCACGTCTGCGCCATGTGCTAATAGATACTCTACAACCGGCACTCTGTTAAAACCCGCTGCAAAATGCAGTGGAGTTGAGTGTCTGCCATCTAAATCGCGACAATTCACAGCATGTGGATTAGCCTGCAAAATTCTTTCTACAGCAGCAAGATCGCCTGATTTGCTCGCCTCCAAGAGTTGCGCTTCCACGTCATCGGTTCCATTTGGTGGATCTATGTAATTAAACATGAAAATATAAAAATGTTCTCCCAAAATTAATTGCGAAATTAGATTAAGGGTTACTTATTTTGTTGTTCTTAACAACTGTAACTGTAGTGTTACAGTGTTGTCACGTAGGTTTTTTTACAATGTAAAAAACAAAACCTACGCATCGACGTTGTAACACTACAGGTACGATTGTTAAAAGTTACAAAATAGTACTTACTCACCTTGCAGTATTTTCAATACGTTTTCGGCAGAAATTTGTGCCGCAGTATATCCTTGAAGGGACACTATCGATGGGTCGATATTATACGATAAGAGTATTCTGCAAGCTTGTACGTTATCCTCTCTAGCACACCTAGTAAGGAAATAATTAATTGACGTATTATGAACTAATAATATTAAAACTGGCTCACTCATTTCTTATGATGAAGAGCGGTTTTCCAGAACAAAGATACCTGTGCAGCACGGTTTGTCCTAAGCCGTCTAGCGCGTTGACTTTCGCATTATGTCGCAACAATATATCCATCGCATCGTAATGCGAATGATCGGTCGCTACATGAAGCGGTGTAAGAAAGTCTTTGTTTTTTTCATTCATGGCAGCATTCTTTCGAATCAAGGCCTCGATAACTTGTTTTCGCTTTGGATACGGTGACGCTACTGCGCAATGCATTGGTGTATCGCCGGTATAAGGATGTTTGAAATTAACGATCTCTTGTGACAGATATTTTTTAAGCTTAGTAAGGTCTGCCTGCCTGCAGGCGTCCAATAGGCAATGACCCTTATATTCATCTGTGAGTCATACGTCAGACATTGATTGTAAAATATGCATGATAATTAAAATATTTATGAATCGAATAACAAGAACAGAAAGTATGATAGAATTACTCAGAACTTACACGCTAGTCTTTCTTGTAATTCGAGGGTTGGTGCCACGTCAATGGCGCTTTTACTATGGCAGTTTAATTGCGTTGGGTCCGCGCCTTCGCTCAACAACAAGGAACAAACCTCTGCTCTGGACTTACTCGCGGCTTCGTGCAACGGAGTGAATGTCCAGAGGTCACTGGCATTAACGGCGGCACCGTGCTTCAGAAGTGCCTCGGTTACTTCAAAGTGACCATAGGAACAGGCGTTATGAAGCGGCACAAGACCTCTATAAATAAATAAATAAGAATTTTTAATGAATCTTACTAAGATTTTGATATATCATTTAAATTTAATAAGAATTTAAAAAAACATACTAATAGGAATAAAAAGAAAATATATGAATAAAATAAAAAAAATATGAATAGAATAAAGAAACAAAAGTTTGTTTTATTATAAATTAATATTAAATTATATAATGATTTATAAATTAGATATACCAACCCTTTATCCTTAGCATGGACATCTGCGCCATTCTGAAGAAGAATCTGTACAACTCTAGATCTATTATAACCAGCTGCCAAGTGTAAAGGCGTAGATCTTCTTCCGTCACTGGCGTGACAATTGACATTAAGAGGATTTAATAGCTGTAATAATCGTTCCTCGTTTCCAGATCTAGCCGCTTCCAAGAGTTCATCTTTCCTATATTCTCCTGTTAGTACTGGTTTTGTAGAGACATCTGCTACTTCTAATGCAGTCTTTCCTTCTGTATTCCTAATATTTACATCTGCTCCATGCTGTAGCAGAGTAATACATACGTCTATTTTACCCTGTCAAGTACAAATGAAGATGAAAAAGTTAGATACCGTTTCCATCTTCAGCCTTTAGTACTAATGATAAAGCCACATAAGTATAAGTGTTACGAAATAAGCACCTTGATCGCCGCCTCATGCAAAGGTGTAAAATTCCAATTATCTCTTGTATTCGGACTTGCTCCTGCTTCTAACAGTAATCTTACAACATCACAATGTCCAAAGGAACAAGCATTGTGTAATGGATGTAGACCACCGTCGTCACGAGCTTGAATCGATGCACCAGCAGATAAAAGAAATTCTACAACGTCCTTTCTACCATATCCTATAAAATGATATACATTTTATATAATTACATGTATAAAACTTATCTGAAAAATCAACAAAGTACATAGTAAGATAAGAATGATGAAAAATGATTCATATATACTTATGAACAATTATATTACATAAATAGATAATTATACCTATTTATTTAATAAATTACAGTTTCTGTTTATTTAAAAGTCATTCCTATATTTTTGCTGTATATACAAATAAATATATTGAATTAAACTTATATAGCACAGATATAATTATTTTTGTTAAAAATTATCTTTAATTTTATTAATAACCATTTTGTTAAAAAGATTTAAATTACTTATTCAATACAATTATATATTCAAGAAACTATTTCTTAACAGAGTTATATGTATATTCACAATAATCCTGAAAATATTATAGCGTACAAATGCCAAATAAAAAAAAATATAAAAATTAGTGCGTTCATAAATTGGAGTTGGAAAACCTTTAGTAGTCAAAATGTCTTTTCAATATTTAAAATCTATTTACTTTCTTCTATTTTCGTAAAAATATTTTGATATACATTCATCTAAGACTACCAAGCACGTTCTAAGTAATCATATGTCGATGGCGAGGAAGTCATCACAACATGATTACTACTTGACAGCTCCGCACAAGTTGCGATCAGCTGAACTCGCTGGCACATTAACCTCCCACGGCCTTCAGCCTCCACGTGTTTACCAGGAGTTCCGAAGTTCACAGCGTTAATAGCACATCCAAAGATGCAATCTAGGGAGTAACTCTCGAACGAATAGAACGGAGATCAGAAATAGGTTCGAGATATGACTCACCAGCTGCAAAATGCAGGGGGGTGGACTTGCGTCCGGCAGTGTCGCGGGCGTTGACCGTCTTCGGGTTGACCAACGCCTTCACCTTGGCGAGATCACCGGTCTTGCAGGCTTCGAAGAGTTCACGTAGCGGATCGCCGCCGCTGCCTCCGCCACCGCCGCCGCCCGATCCTGGCAGCGAGTCCGCCGCATTCGACAGCGTCGATCTGCGTCCTGCCATTTCCTCACACCGCCATTTTCACGCTGTCGCGCCGTCCGACGACAGAATACAGTACAGACCCCGCGACGCAGTTGCGACGGACAGGCAGAGGTACATCTCACCAGCGGACGTCCGGGCTGTACACGGCACGCACGCACGCACGCCACAACGGAGCCACAGACGGACACGGGCGGTTGGGCGAAAGGATAGACAGACAGACGGGCGCGGGTGGGCGCGGGTAGGTGCACGGATGGATGGGTTGCTAGGGAAGCGATTCCCACAGCAGCGACGTTCCGCGTTTCCACGATGTAACCCGTCTCTCGGCGACGTTGTCTTTCGAGGATTCCTCGTCGCGCAACCGTAAGCAAATTCTCGGCAATCGTTAGGTGGAGTAAGTTGGAGTAAGTACCCAGAGAACAATTTGACGTCTTAAAGACGTCATAAAAACGTCCTAAAATTCATGTGACATTTTTTGGAAGTATCAGAATGACGTCTATATGACGTCTTAAAGATGTCTCTACAATAGGCCGTTACCTAAGTTTTAAGTATTAAGTCATAAGAAATTGACCACTCACAGTCGATTATTCTTCTCACATTCGATTGTGATTGGTAAATTTCTTATGATTTAACACTTAAGGGCCTACAGACCAGAGCGGCGCAGCGGTGAAGCGGCGAGCGATAGCCAATGAGAGCCATGATTTTGCGTAAAAGCATGGCTCTCATTGGCCATCGCTCGCCGCTTCACCGCTGCGCCGCTCTGGTCTGTAAAGGAATTTCATTGGTCCATTTTCTTATGCATGAGTCAATGGACCAATCAAATTCTTTATGTATATGGTTTATGCGTTATGCAAAAGTCTGTGCTCCCCGCTTAAGTAATGGCTTATTGTAGAAGGCCCATTATGCGTCGATTTATGACGTCTAAAAGATATTATCTTTAAGACGTCTTATGGACATTGTTTATGATCAATTTCAGTTACGTTAGGCTGAATCCACAACCTCGCTTTAAGAGGCCGTAAGCCGTAAGAAATTGACCAATCACAGAAAATTATTTTTCTCGCATTCAACTATGATTGGTCAATTTCTTACGGCTTTACGGCTTACGGCCTCTTAGGGCCAATTTCACCAACATCGGTTAAGCTAACCGACGATTAAAGTGTCAACCGTGATTGGTTCATTCTGGTCAAAGACAAATGCGATTGGATAATTCCATTGGAATTAACCGTCGGTTAGCTTAACCGACGTTGGTGAAATTGGCCTTAAAGCAAGGTTGTGGACCCAGCCTTAGGATCTCCTTAAAGACAATATTTTTTTAGATCAATTTCAGACTTATGCATTAATCGGTAATGTAGGAATCATTAATCATTTTATTATTAATTTTTATTAAATTTTAAAATTTTTTTTAATTTCAAATTTATTAATTTTTACATATTTAATATATTACATTAAATATATATATTTTAATTAAATATATTTAGGGCTGCGCAGAATAAAAAGAACAGAGAACTCAAGTACTGATTTCTGATAGGTTGAAATTCTTAGGAACTACGCAGAATAAAAGGAACAGGGAACAGAGAACAGAGAATAAGGGGCTACGCAGAATAAAAGGAACAGGGAACAGAGAATAAGAATTTCAACCTATCAGAAATCATATACTGTGGAATAAACAGTGTGTATTCCATAGTACATGATTTCTGATAGGTTGAAATTCTTATTCTCTGTTCTCTGTTCCCTGTTCCTTTTATTCTGCGCAGCCCTAAGCCCGGATCCTCATACGGGCAACAGCGCTTTGACACCAAACGCTGATTGGTGAAAAATCGGTGGCGAGGGTAAAATTTACCTCCATAACCCGTTTTTCACCAATCAGCGTCCGGTGTCAAAGCGCTGTTGTCCGTATGAGGATCCGGGCTAAGAATTTCAACCTATCAGAAATTATGTACTATGGAATACACACTGTTTATTCCACAGTATATGATTTCTGATAGGTTGAAATTCTTATTCTCTGTTCCCTGTTCCTTTTATTCTGCGTAGCCCCTAACAGTGCATAAACATAACATAAGACCGCTGGACCAATGAGCATCTTATATTAATTAATATGGCAACTTTATGCTTATTGGTCCAATAGCTTTATGTTATGCTCACAGACTCTTGCATAAAGCATGACACATAAAGCGGGGAGCACAGACTTTTGCATAACGCATAAACCATATACATAAAGAATTTGATTGGTCCATTGACTCATGCATAAGAAAATGGACCAATGAAATTCCTTATGCACATGCTTTATGCGTTATTCAAAAGTCTGTGCTCCCCGCTTAAGGCATAAGAAATTCAACCAATCAAAGTTTTTTATATCATTTAAAGGAAGGAAACGAAGAACTTTGATTGGTACATTTTCTTATACATTATGTATTATGCGTTTTGCAAGAATCTGTGCTTCCCGTCTTAAGCGGCATTATTGTTTATGTTTTTTCTTATTCTTAAAATTAGCGACAAAATCGAACGCAGCTGGAGTTCGTTCTAGAGTTCGTCAACGTCAGCACTTTTATATTGGCCATCCTGCATCGATCTGATCATAAAGTTCGAAATTATCATAACAACGAGCCCGCCAATTTACTTCAGTTCAAGTTTACTCCCGCGCGTTATAGTTGGTTGTTCCTGTGATTTTCGCAAGGAGTAGACGTTACTCGATACTTCGGAAGTTGTGTGATAACGCGTCTCATTGCTCCGATTTCGCGTCGTACCCAGACGTAGGTACATACGCGTAATCGAGATCGTAATCAACATATCCCGAACTGAAAGGGAATAGATAACGGGGAATGCATAATGGAGTCCGACGACGAGGACATATTCGCTGTTAGCGACGAGGAGATGTCCGTGCAGGCGCAAATCGAGCCAGTGAATCCCGTTGAGGAGCACTTGTTGAAGCAGCTCGCCGACATCGAGGGTAGGATTGATGTTGCGACGAGCGAAATTGCTGAGACAAAAGCGACCATCGCGTGTGTTTTGAACACCCTGGAAGGACGCGCGCTTCACGGGAAGGATGCGAACTTGGACTCGGACAACGAGGTAATCCCGCATTTTTTAGATCCGTTTATGTTGGCTTGAATCTTAAAAAATTTCTGCACTAAAGAGATAATGGATGTTGAAGAGAGATAAAGCGAAGATACTAAGTGCATTTATCTGTGATATGTAGTAAACCTTGGCCGAGTTGGTTGAATGTTTTTAGTTTGTCTATCCTTGTCTAATAAACGCTGTCTAATAAACGACAAAGACAAAACGATGATTATAAGCGCTTAAAACACTTGATGCTGATTCTACAAAATGAGTCAGTAGTCGGTAATCCTAAGTCTTATAGGCCTTCTACAATAAGCCATTACTACTTAAGTTTTAAGTGTTAAATCATAAGAAATTTACCAATCACAATCGAATGTGAGAAGAGTAATCGACTGTGAGTGGTCAATTTCTTATGACTTAATACTTAAAACTTAGGTAATGGCTTGTTGTAGAAGGCCTAGAGTTGACCAATAGCCAACTTGTACGACTTGATACGCTGATTGGCCAATTTTTTTTTTACGCATTGTTCGTTTTGTCTTTGGGAGCTGCTCGGAGTTGTTCTGGACGAACCCAGCGTACTTGGGTGCGATCCATATCATGCTGTAAATACCTCGAAACATTCTTTGATTGATCAATTTGTAAAATTCTTTCTTCTGATTGATCAACGAAGCATTTGCAGCATTAAATGGATCACATCCAAGTACGCTGGATTCGTTTAGAGCGGCTTCCGAGAGACAAGAACAATACCTAAAGAAGGTCACTCGGAAAGTCATGTAGTTTTTTTTTTATCATAATTTACTCAAGTTAATGAAAACAACGAACCAATAAAAAATTTATCTAATGACCAAACTCTGGGTCTCTAATATGTACGGCGACCAAACGTTTATTGTAAAGGACAGTCCTTTATTTTCAAGTAGTTGCCCTTTTATTTATGTTTCTTCAAAACTCAATTTTGTCCTTTATTTTCCAATACTATCCTTTATTTTAACTTTACAAGAAGACTTTACTTCTTTTCTAACTAATGTTTCAATATCTAATGTTTATATTATAATGAGAAAATTTCTACAAAAAATATTTTACAGTTTCATGGATATAAATACAATTTCTTTTTGTTAATTATATTTTTTAATTATTTATTCGAACTAGAATTGTTTTCATTTTTTATTATTTCGAACCTTTTGTTGAATTCGAAGATTTGTTCCAATACAGTCGAACCAGTTTCAGACCGTTAGAAAACTGCATATTTGATTATACTGTGCAATAAAAATAATGCACAAATTCTTGATATGATAGTCTCAAACTGATTTGTGAAAACATGTATTATAATAGAAACAAAACAGTAAAATTTTCATATTTATCCTTATTTTCCTTTTCTCTTTTAAACTATATATGTTTTTCGAATTTTCATAAATTACAATAAAAATTCTCTGGTTTTAGTCCTGCCGATTAAATTTAAAATAGAATACTTGATTTTTGCAAGAAATAATCAAAATTTTTGTCTGAGCTAAGGTTTCTTGATTCTGTTTTATTCTCTTTATTCTTTAAAGAATGAGAAATACCACTTTGTGACGCATTGTTAATTTCTCAAATAATGTAATAATGAATATCATAATAAAAAGCTAATTAATTGATAATCTAGAATATCTGTAATATATGGAGAATATCTTATAGTATACATATATAATATATATATATTTAATATTATAGATGTATACTGCCGAAGGAAAACCTGTGATAAAGGAAGTGCAACACACTAATAATAGGCCAGAAAAAATATTGGAAGTAACTTCACTATGGCAACGTATTATTCAAGATAAATGGATTATTGGAGTAGAATTGTACAACAGATCTTGTTGGTGAGTCATTTATCAAATCATTGATAAAGTTATGTTCGATCTAATCTTGTTGAATAACGAAGGTGAGACACAAGCAGAAAAAATATAAAAATAAAAGTGTATATTTATAGC